TCCTACTTTGCGGTTCTCTGACACCCATCGACAAAAAAAAAACAGATATTTATATTCTTTTAAAAAAAATTCAAGTGACAGTGTGACACATAGCATGTCGTCATGTCTGTGTCATATCCAACTGTCTGTGCTTCTTAGACTAAGGGAGCATCCAAATGTTAAGTGCTGCAAAAATATCATCACTGTAATGTTTTGGTTTAATGTTCTTTCTGGTCGTTTACATCATGCTATTATTATTATTATTCTTTTTGGATAAGAAACAATTTTTAATATGTTATTTTCATTTGGAATCTTTAAACATGGTATCTTATCATAATAAAAACAAACACGTATAGAGGAGGTTTTATCCCCCTTCCTTCCGCCAAAGGAAAAAATCAAAAAGAATGAAAAAAGAACAAAAGGAAAGGATTCAAAATATGTGTATAAGAAAGAGAGAGTTACACCCCGAAGGGTGCCCTAATGGTAAGGGTATTGGACGATTTGGGATGAACATCTTTTTTTCCAATAAAATCCAGTTTCCAATTTCTTATAAAAGGAATAAAATGGTTTTAGATGCCAAGGGATAATCAACTCTTGCCATATAAAAATCAACTAATTGCTAACTTGGAATTAGCTCAACTGGTTAAGGCACCTATTTTCGACTAAAAGGTCGTGAGTTCAAATACCCACCTCCACATGTTGTATTAAAAGAAAAAAAGGAAAAAAAAAAAAAAAACTAATTGTGAGAGATGTTTTTAGGATTGGTAGATTCCGACAAATTAAAACCAAGGAAAAGTAGAGATTACCTGAAGCGAGACTAAGATATTGGACAAAGCTTGCCCATAAGTGTCATGGAAATGAACAGCAAGATTTCCAATTGGAACAACGTCAACTACAGATTCAAGCATTGGAATAACAGTTCCTGCAATGATAAGAACTAATAAGAACTAAAATTAACTAAAACAGGAATGTTGTTTTTTGTTTTTTTTTTAACAAGATACAAACTTTTCATTAATAATATGAAAACTGAATTTCCTCCATCTGCCAAGTACCGAATTCAATTCTTTCATGTGGGAAGAAGTATTCATGCTCTGGCTCTGGTAACTAAAACAGGAATGTTGCCGATGACTCTTCAAAGAGTTAGAAAGATTACTGTCCGAAAAGGATTCTAAAAAACAAACTATCTAAAAGATTAATTGTTGAGGAATTTTTTAGAATACAGAAGAGTTCAGGAAGGGAAATTCTTCTTTTTAAGAAACTATGGAGATAATCCTACCCTGCAAATTTGGTGATTTAACATCATTTGATCCTTTCAATAAGTTTGTAAGAATTTAATGGAATACGTGTATTCTAAGAAAAAAATTAACAAAAGTTTACAGCAGAGACAGACTTTTCTTCTCTCACAAATGAAACCATAAATTCCGACAGCCAGAAATCAAAAGGATCCTAGTCCTCGACATACTCAAACCACTACCCTATCCTTCTTGAAACTGACAATATAAAGTGGGACCAGCTCCCTTTCGATTAAAAAACATGAGGCTCTCAGAAACTGGCTTCTTAAGCTATGTAATAATTGGAGGGATGTTTCAACAAGGAGGCACTCTTCGCATTCTCTGATCTGTAAACTTAAGACTCTCAGTTTGAGAATTAAGTCTTTGAACATAGAGTACTCTGGGAACATACACTTCAGCATGGTCTCACAAAATGCAATGAAGTTTTATTTTAAAATATACGGAACGATGGATAAACTTCATTAACCAACAGACAGCAAAACAACCTCAAGGCAATAAGGCAAGACGTCTTCATGCTGCCAGAGAGGAATCAAATCAATTGCTACAGGTCATGGGTAATACATCCCCATGCCGAGTGGAGGAATCAAATAGAAGGCCTCCCATCTAGGATGATAGTAGAAGTAGAATAGTTATGGAAGGATTTGAGTAAGGTACTCCAATTATAATTTGACTTATCTTTAAGAAAACCTGTCATTTATCTCCTTCCAAAAGAGCAAAACCAAAGCTCTTGTGGCATGAGACCATAGAACTCTAGCGAGCATTATCCTTAAACTCTCACCAAGCCAATTCATCCGTTACTTTGATTCCCCCTCAGTAAAATTATTTCTCATCTAAACAAACTTTTCCATTTTGCTGGGTATGCAAACATCTCAACAAGCCAGTGAAAATCAACAAATGCATAGGCCTCCAGGTATGGAGCAATTATCTGATGCCCTTTAATGGATGAAATCAGTTTCATCAAACCAATTTCAAATGATAGGCATAGACTAGAATACACACCATTAAGCTCAAGACTTACAGAGATGCACGTGCAGATACTAAATTAAATTATGACATAATATTTCCCCGGTTTGCCAAAATGCCTTTAGAAGATAGATTTTGTCCATGTCAAGTGTCAACCAGATTTTAAACTATAAGAAACTTAAAAAACCATTCCAAGTAAGCGGGCTGGAGATTCATGAATGGACCAAATGTTGTACAAGCTGAAACTTCGGAAGGGCAAGAAAATCCTTTTCTGGAAGATCTTTGTATGGGTGAAACCAATCTCATATCCTCCTCCCAGAGGCTCTACAGAGTGGCTAACTCATAGGGCTTTGAAGTAAGTTAATGTTAGCCAGAAAAGCATAATGGGTGGAATTTGTTGTTGAGAAGAAATCTTACTGACAGTGAAAGCAGAGAATGGATTGGTTTGTTAAACCTCATTGCTCCACTTCGGTCTTCTAGTGGAAGAGACTAAATTTTGGATTCTTCATAGCAATGGTAGCTTCACGGTCAATTCCATAGTACCAGCACTCAACAAAGACCATCACCTTTTGACCCAGTTTTGGTGGAGATTAATTTTTTTTTTTTTGATATCCGTGTATCCGAGCGACCTCGACTATTCACGGGCCAACCGCCTGACCCTACTACATTTGGTTAACAAGGAAACTCATAGGATATTAAATCCTAGGTAGGTGGCCATCATGGTTTGAACTCATTCCCTCTAAGTTCTTTGCTATTTACATTGGCCCTCATTGACCACTTGGGTCATCCCATGATGGTTAGTTTTGGTGGAGATTAATTGGAAGGCTAAAATTCGTAAGATGGTCAAAAGGTTTCTCTTTGGGTGTTTACTCAAGTAAAATTGAATACATGCACTTGATTCAAAGGAAAACCTAAATTTATCCTTCTCCCCAAGTTGGTGCCTCACGTGAAAGCAAGGGTTGCAGAGCCAGCAGCATCTTTTCTTCCGTTGCCCATTTGCTAATGCTGTTTGGGTTTTTATTCTTAATTTATTTGGTTTGACACTCACTCGTGCTTTCTCAACAGTACTGAAGGAGGTTTCTTTCAGCTTAGGCACGGCCTGTTTAGAGCACAAGCTAGAGTCTTATGGTCCAATGTATGTGGTGATGGCTACCCTTTGTAGAGTCTGGTAGGAGAGAAACCAAAGGGTCTTCAAAGAGAGAGCATCGAGTCTTGAGGATTTTTGGGACTCTGTAAAGCTATTTACATCCATCCAAAGTTCTCATTTAAACCTTTTAACTACAATCTTTTTACTTGTTTGGACCAATTGGGCTTTCCTTTTTGTAGCCCTTTGGCCTTGTGGGAATATCTCATCCACCTTCTTACTATATGATATGTTTCAACCAAGGTTCAAAATGTCGATGTCGACGGATATTTCGGGGAAAATCACGAAAATTGTGGATATTGATGCAGATTTTTTGAATTAGTAAATATGATTTTAGTGGTAGCTTAATTAGCCTATAACTAGTCACTTTTAACAATCATATCTAAATATACAAGTAATATACTTATTGAAATGTCGTTGCAATGAAAACACCGAAACAAAATTAAGTTTGTTTTTATTTTTAAATCAATTTTTTTCTAATTGATTGCTTTAGGCTATAATTGACCATTTTTAATTATCCTACATAATAATATTTATATAAAAATGTCAATGTAAACAAAAAAATTTGAACAAAATGATAGTAAACAAATAAATTTTGATAAGATCATTAGAATTAGTTAATAAAAAAATTATTTGTGTTATAATTGATTTTTTATGAATTATGGTTGCATATTTAAATAGACATAATATTATTAGTTTCATAATTTTAAAAAATAAGAAATATAGATATAGTCAT